TCAGAAACGTTTGTGGATGTAGAGAGAAAATAATTCCCGGAGCAAACGTGACCGTGACATAACACAGGGCAAACCTCCAACTGAAACACAGTGTGCGATATAAACCACTCAGACAGTGTGTCTGAATTTGTCTCATCTCAGGAACAGCCTGTCCAGGGATGTCACACCTCCTCCACTCTACGGAGGCTGACAGATAGCCCACACTGTTATGTAATAAGCATCTTTTCCATCCAGCACTCCCTCCTCTTTTTCCCACCAATACAAAACCTGTCATGTAGCCCGCACCTCTGACCACAAGCACACTCACCACCTCAGAGTGAATTCCTGCTGACAGTAGGGGTCTTTTATGTTTATACCTCACACCTGGCTCCAGGACCCATATGTCAAGGAACAGCACCAGAACAGAAAAACAGGACTCCAATATCACATCCTCACTGTGAAAAGAGCCAGTAGTGTCAAAAATCCAGGGGAGGGATCTCTGTTTTGGGGCCAATCATTTAGCAGAGAAAGACTTAAGGCCCTGGATTCCCCACATCACTGTCACTGAGAACCATTCGGTCTTCATACAGTAACACAGCGTGAGGTCTTCTGCTATGTTAGGACATGATAAAAAACTAAATCTGACACTTGTAAAGTCAGGTAGGGGAGCCAAATGAAACACTATGTCCAAAAGAATAAATTCTAGGAACAACAGCAAGAAGATTAAAAACAGTCTTGCCTTCAGAGCCAGACACATATGACTACTCTCTCATACTGTTAATATCTCAAAGTAAATATCTGCTGATGCATTATTTTTACATGGAGTCATTTCAGACCAGAGCGCCTGAACAAATTTATTTGAACAAGTCTTTTTGTCTCTCTGGTGGAGATGGCGGCGAGCCTGCAGTAAATGAGCCATTACACTACATATGGATCTGCTCAACACATGACAGCAGCATGGAGCAAGTTGTGCCTAAACTTTACTGCCAGTGTTGTGGCCTTTGTGCGAACGAATAACAGACTGTGAAACAATATTAGATTTGAAAACAATTGCTGTTTTCTTTTTAGTCTTACTACACTTGCTGCTAGAAGTTCAAAATGCATCTATGTAATTATATAAAGCGCGTTTCTTTAATTTCTTTGACATTTTATTTCTTAAACCTGCATTCATTGACTTTTGTTGATTCAAGGAACACTGACATAAGGCGAAAGTTAAAGAAGGAAGATATTTTCTCTCAGGCTCTGCCTTTATTTCTGCTATAAGTGGGAAACATTCCTCTGTGACATCCATGTCTGTATTTTAAATTGGCGACAATTTGGCGGCAAAACACGGAGCAATTCCACCGTGGCTACCTGCTGCTCTCTCCACCTAGTATAATCTCAACAAGCAGCCAAATAAAGTGGGGTGTAGCTAAAAAAGGGAAAATGCTTAGTAAAATGACACAACTATAATATCACGTTTTGCTAAGCAGTATCATAAACACTGGTAATCAGATAATCAGACTTTGACAGCTGATGTTGCTCCACTCACGTTTCTCTTCATTGATCTGTCTGTTCTCTGCAGGTGGATAGGTGCACAAGTCAGGAAACCCTGATATAGTAAAATCTGCTCCGGTGTCAATTTCCTCGCTGCGGTTGCCGTGGTCAGACGGTGAGCAGCATTGGCAAGCTGGGAAAATTGAATCATCATAAACTCCAAATGCTACCATAAAGAGCTGTGTGCATTCACAAAGGCAGCAGCCGCCATCGCTCTCCCTGCCGCTGCCACCCACCCCTGCGGCACTGCTGTCATTGTGTTTACATTGTTTACTTCCGCTTTCCCACGCTGTCAAAGTTGCTTTCATTCAGAAATTCTAATGTGCTTAGATCTGGCCAATTATCTTTGTGATGGTGCTCCTGGAGCCAACAGGTCCCTGGATGGTGCTCTTTAAGTATCAAGGCAATCCCTTCATTTACCTCCTGTGATTCTGTATTTCAGATGTACTATTGCCTAACCCACCACCTCTCCCATCTCCACTATGACCTCCAGGATGTTTTGGCAGTGTTTCCATCAACCACCTGCTGGCTTTACTCCACCACCACCACTGTAGTATCCTGTCCTACCTCTTATCTTCACAGGAGTGCGTTTAATGTAGGTGCTTTACGTCAATTAATTCTTTCTCGGTTGCTTACCTTAACAAATACTGCTCTACGCTTCAAATAAATCTCTCCTCATTGGACTCTCTCATTTAGACATTTTTATATATCCTGCTCTGTGTCCTAGGTGATGTTTTCATTGTGTCATAAAGTCATTTTTGTATGTATTTGTTTTGTTACTCCCCTCTCCTCTCATGACAGTTCACTTCACTTCCTGCCTTTGTCTGCCCTTCCCTGATTGGATCACCTGTCCCTCGTTACCCTTGCCTCTCTACTGTATTTAGTTTGTGTGTTATCCTGACTCTGTGCTAGTTTGTCTTAGTACCCAGTATCTAGCGTTCCTTGTTTCCTTGTGTTTAATGTTACCTGGTTATTGGATGTTGCCTTTTTCCTGACCTTGTCTTTCTTCTCCCTGCAGGATTCTTCTTCTTTCTTTGCTTTTCCAATTAAAGACTGACTTTTACCACAATGTTGTTTCTGAGGCGGGCAATTGAGTCCTTTGCTTGTGATTTCACCAGCTGTAATACATTTCATTGACCTCTGTCAGTGGCTAAGGAATTACACTGACAGATTTCTCACATCCAGGAAAGGACCAGCAAAATGTGCAATTTGAAAGCATCAAGTTTGAGTAAAGTAATCTTAACCCTTTCACGCATAGTGGTCACTACAGTGGACAGCTATTCAAAAGCCATTTACTTCAATGGGCAGAGGTTCTGAGTCTAGTTGCACATCAGCCACTACAGTGGACACTAGTGTGTCGTGCCATACACTGCCACCCTCAGATAAGCCATTGTAAGTGCAACTTAAATTCATCAAAACCAAGATGGCCGATGGACTTGTACAGCTCAGGTAAATCTTGCCATTCCTCCAATTATAGGAGAGCCCTGCAGCTAAATAAAATTTGGTAACGTCTAGTAACAACTAAGGAGTAATACAATTGTTAAACTTTCCAAGTATTAATTTTATGTTGTTAGGATTAATCACCTGTCCACTAAATTGGAAATTATGCATTGCTGGCTATATTTCAACTACATTTAACTATTACTGAGACTTTGTTTTTCTTGAAAATACTTCATGTGCACTAACTTTTTTGGATGTAAATCAATGGATTTATGTTACACTTGCAGTTTTTGTAACAAAAACAACATTTTGTGAAGATTAATTCCATTATGTGAGTAACATTTAGTGTGTTGCATCAAGTGATAGAAAGGCATTCAGGACAGTGGAGCAAATTCCATCTGAATCAATTGAGGATAATAGCAGTGGCAGTGATGATGAATGGCTGCCAGAAATAGGAGAAACCCCAAATGCTAGCAGCAGTGATAGTGGAGCTGCTGAGAAAGAGAGGCTGAGGAGTCAGAAGTGAGGTTCAACGCTTTTGCATTGCATTAAACAGTATTAGAATATGTTGACATATGTGACCACATTAGTTTAACAGCATTAAAAAATATAGATTTCACATAATATATATAATTTTATTGGTTTGTTAAATAAATATTTCTTTATTTAAAACCTTATGCGCACGCTGTCCACCTTAGTGGACATGTAAGAAACTCCTCGAAAAATGTGTATTTAAAAAAAAAATTAAATTCAAATTTTATTTTGCATGCCTAAAGAGCCAAAAAAAATAATCCTGACAGAGGGTGTCATAATTCATGCATGAAAGGGTTAAGGTCCACTTAGTAGTTTTTTCTGTATCTTTCGAATGCATTTCACAGTCTTTGTCAGCAGAAGGAGTTGTGGAAAGTTGTCATGGAAAAAGCTCAGTTGTGATCACTTCTTATCCATAACGCAGCCATGATATGCCAATGGCAAACTCTGTCCTCTGTTGACGACTGTGAGGTGCTCTGAGAGTGCTGTGAGCTAGGACGAAGACGCTTTGTGTGACAGTTTATCTACATGAGCCTTTAGCAATATCATCATATTAGGAATGACTATAAAAGCCGGATTAACATTAAAGACTGTTGGATACAGCATGCTCCAATGCTCCAAAGCAACCATGCCTATTCAAAGTGCCAAAGTGAGCATCCAAAGGCAAACTGCCAACTCTTAACATTGAAAAACAAATTATATAACAGCATGCAAGTGGACTCGTGGTCAATCAAATATACTACTTTTACAAGCCAGTGTTATATTTTGTTAAGGGTTCTGAACCACATCTGCAGAGTACTCTCCAAATGCCACAGTGTGGTCACAGGCTAAATAGTGCAGCAGTGAGACAGAAACCACTCTCCATGAAGCCAAACAACTTGTTGTTCACCACTGGTGAAACCCAAGCAGGCCACTGTATGTCAGATGGAGATCCCTGGGTATTAATTAACAGTGGAGCTGAAGCAGAGACAGAGAGAGCAAAAAAACAAAACAAAGATTGAGCGAGGGAGAGTGTTCCCTATGACAACTGTTGACAAGCTTTAAATCCACCATACTCCCCTTCATCCTCACCTCCAACATCAAGCTGTCAGCAAGGACTTGTGGTACCATTTGAATTGTTTATGTAAGTATTAATATGCTGTTTTAGGGAGTAAAAATAAAGAATCATGTCATAGTGTGACAGGTGCATTACAGTGTGTTACTGACCACGGTCCAACAGCAAAAAGATTGCCAAGAAGATCTGAACCACTTCCATCAACAATATGATTAATTACAATCATCATAGTGTATCATCATCACCACCACTGACCCACTTTCTTCACCACACAATTGCAGCCGATGTTCAGTGCATGTAAATGAGTGTAGTGTGTACTTCAAACAACTGTAGCGCAAACCCACCTTAACAACTATCATGCATGCATTTATGGAGCTGACATCATACATTTTAAAGGCTGACACAGGCTAAATCTCAGCATGCTTTAGTAGAAGTGTAAATGATAATCACCAACTGTGAGTTTTCTCATCTTTTTATTTGGAAAATGAAGGAAGCGTTGTGTTTACAGACACATTTAACCTAAAAGAACATGGAGTATCCCTACAAATGCTTGTGATGATAACATAAAGTAGCTGCACTCTGCTACATCTACCATACTATCTAGACACCGTCAACCATCTGGCTCCAGCTGGATTTTCCACCCAGACTGCTGTCTAAGAAAAAGAGCCTATATTCATCTTAAACTGTCCCACTTTCCAGTCCATAAAAATCAGACATCTCCCAAACCAGAGCCTCGCCTTGGACACCATTTATAGGAGCAGAGAGCTGGCTTTTCCTTCCAGACCTCTCACACACTCAGAGAGAGAGAGAGAGAGAGAGAGAGAGAGAGAGAGAGAGAGAGAGAGAACCAGATTTGTCCTGTTGGGTCCGGGTTTCATCTCCCATACACAAACACACACTTTCTGTATCCACTCGCAATTCCAAATTCAGTTCTAACAGACGTGCATCCACTACAGTCGTAGACCGGCACGGATAAGGTTTCTGCAGCCTGCAGCTTCTTTTTGCCTCCCACTAAACAGCTGTCAGATTATATAAAAAACCTTCACAGCACTTGACATAACCTGTCAGTCCCACAAAAAAATATCTAAATGGCAGTTTAAGACTAATTTGTGGATCAATTTATTACTAAGATTAACTGACCAAAATCAAAACAAACTGAATTTATATATATTACAAGGCAGGTTCAGCTAATACTTAACTGCACTTCTGTGGCTATTTGTTAAGATCATTATGGTCTGTATATTTCTCCTCCGCACTGAATATGTCTTAAAAAATATGGGAGGTATACATTTCAGTAACCAGTAGTGAGCAATAATGAGCAATGAGGAGCAGAGTTCATTAGTTTCTGCATACAAAACCTCAGACTGTCTCGTCGAGCTAATATCATTATAATTTTGATCATATATCAAAAAAAGGTGGCTGAGCTTCAAGTCAGTTCTCAGTTTTTATTATTGTTGTTGCTTTCACCAACTGCTGTGACAATGTGAAGCATCGGTGTTGTTCCTAAGGTTACCTGTAGCTCAATATGGTTTGTGTGCTGATATGAAGTGGTGGTTCAGCTGTTGATGTAAATATGTGTGTGGAGTTCTGCTACCTGATTTTAAAGAGCATCTGCCAGCCACTCAGAAACAAATGTTTTTCACAGTAATGGTATTATCATATTAAATACTCCAGTTGAAGTAAAATCTGAATATATATTTTGTTTCAGATTGTTAAATTTTACACATTTCTTTTAAATAAGCAATAGGTGACCTATGCTCATTCAGGAGCAAAACAACTACTGAACACATCACAGAAACACAGCCCTGAAACAACATCAGGTTAGCACATTGTTATAGCTAATAAGTTAGCAAACAACTGGCTATTCACCCAACCGGCAGTCAGAGTTGGAAAACCAGAACAATAAGCTAACAAGTGGCTTAAAGCTGGCTTAAAGCTGCATAAAGCTGCAGAAATCAGTGTTAATTCTATGATAGCTTGGCAAAACTCGCAGTAGTTTCACTTTTCAGAGTCATCTGATTCAATTTTAATATTTAAACTGAATCACATGACGATTGTTGCTCTGTGAGGCTGTATGTAGGCACAGTTGTGCTCTGAGCAAAATGCTAATGTCAGCATGCTAACAATGTGAGCATGTTGATGTTTAGCAGGTATACGTTTACCATGGCTGCCATCTTAGTTTGTGTGACGGCAATGGCATTCAGAAACCAAAATCTCAGACAAATTAAACTTTTGCCCTTAAGCCAGGCTGCTAGCATGGCTAAAAATACTGTTCAGCAGAGCTTCAAGGCTTGGCTAGGAATGGACACTAAAACTGCTCCATCTTTGTTTTAAGTATCTCTTAATGAGATGGAGTGCAACCCAAAATACTTCGGCATGATTCTGGTAACCATCAGTAAATCCTGGCTAAAGCCCCAAGGTTGTGGCCCAGACGCGTTAAAACACCCCGACATATGCTAACAATCATTCTTCAATCACTTTTTCCTTTTGTAGAGTGTCTTTTATATTAGGCTTTTATATAATTTTATTTTTTATGTAAGCTACTGCTGTTTTATTTTTGCATTTTACTTTTATTTCACACTTTAATACATGCTTTGAATTTTTTTATTGTACATCTACTCAGGTTTCATTCATTGCTGTTTTATTGTCTATATAACACTTTGCATTTGTTTTTAGCTGTTGAAAAATTATACATGAACAGAGCTATCTTCGTTACACACTTTTATATGTGGTGTTTCTATCATCAGCAGTTCGCAGCCAGAGCATCTCGTCTCCTCTGTACAGAGAAACTGGTTGATGAGAGGAGATACCTGCCACACTAAGAGCTGTCACTGCAATGTAGACAGACTGCTGCCTGTTATAGACCAAGGCCAAACAAAAGCACAAGGTCTTTCATACTTGGCTTGTGGAACTTCTTAAAATAGAAGGCCCAGTTTCAAAATGAAGAAACGATATTCTGGTACTGACACCCCAGGGAACGTGAGGTCACAGCACAAACAGCACAAACACTAGAACCTGAGAACATTGTCTGCATGTTCGGTTTACTGGCGGCATGAGCTATAGCTATCTGCGACAAATGTTTGGGGAGTTTATGTCAGGCATTCTCTTCAGGGCCAAATAGTGCAGGCATGCTTGTATGCACATATGGAACAGTGAAAAGATACTATTGAAAAAGCGAGAGGAATTTTTCCTAATCAGATCAAGAAGATATTTCTTCACTGTTAAGCCATTAATAGACACACTGCATTGCAAGTGATACCCCTAATTCTGTAAAACACGGAGAACTGCAAAGGCTCATAGGGACCCCTTCTAAAATATTTAAATATTATAATATATCTAAAATATCAACTCTCTCAATTAACGTACGCAAGCCAGAGTCCCATCTCCAGCCCATTAACAGCCCTCTCTGTGGAATCTCCACTGGGAACCATATGTCTTCATGCCCTGACCTGGCTGAGTCTACAGATCTGCCTCTCCTGTGTAGAAGTTTCCGTCACTACTTTGCTGTAGAAAACCTTGTAAAAGCACTTTAAAAAAGCAGAGCGTCCCAGAGGCAGCAATTGCTGAAGGGAGAGAAAAATGATTTGCATTGCTTTGGCAGTACCAGCAGCACGGTCATGATCAGGTTGTTTTAAAAGGTTAAGTCATAAAGGATGAGGAAAGTGAATGGAAACGATCGCCTCCCCCATGTTCTGTCAACAACTCCTAAAAATATACAATTGAGCAAGGCACTAATCTGCAGCCAAATCATAAGATGTTACTTGCACTTTCTAGGTACCAGCAGTAGAAAGCTGTGGGTGTAATGAGAAACTCCCAGTGTGAATATATCAACTGTGCGACTATAAACAGTGATGAAAAAAGTGAGAACGCCATGCCAGCAAAACCTCCCCCATGGATAAATGAAGCTTGTCGAACATGTCCAGAATCTAAGTGCAGTTTTGTTTTTGTAATATTTCTTGAGTAAACATCCTTGTAAATAAGAATAACAATAAATTAAAATGAAATGTGGTGGGTTACTCAGTTCAGGTTCCAAGTGCGTTGGAGTTTCAGTATGTAAGAGTCACAAGAGAGGGTAAGACAGACAGGGCGGCCGATGGGCGATCGCCAAGATGTGCAGGTGAAGTTCTCTTTTTTTAATCTTTTACACAACAACATCTCTTTTGCAACACTATGAATACCTTCAACGCTAAAACATATGCCATTATCCCCCTTTTCAAAGGAACATCACGTCTTGCCTCTCTATGATGGCAGGCTTTCAACCCACAGACATAAAGACTTTTGCCTTGAGACATTGACAGATGACACGTTGTACAAGCTAGTTCATATTAGCATACTGACACTGTATGGAGCTCAAAGTAGAACCACTGCTCTTTCACGCTGAAAGGACAGTTACTGTAAGATAGTTTGCGCATCTGATTAGAATGCCTCTTGGATGCCTCCCTCTGGAGTGAAAAAAAGTGCGCTCTATGTGCGCCTGGGAATCCTGCCGAAAGCGCTACAGGGGGAAACATCTGAGCTACCTCATTCAAGCATATACATTTTGTCCACAGATGCTTATATGTTGTGACCATGATATATCATATCAATATTAAGATAAATGATATAGGCCCATTCTCAATCAGTCAGAATACAACCCAACAGGCGCTCTGCAGATTTACAGACGCATATTTAACTAAAATAAATAATAAACAGTTAAATATGCTACTATGTTAAATGCATTTCTTTCATTTTCTTCAAAGAAGGACAAACTAACTAAACTAGAAAAGGTTGCAGGCATTTTAATGGAACATGTGAGCCTGCTGTTGATTGTGGGAGAGCAAAAGTCCTGCTGAGAGTATTTAAGAGTTTGATGTGCAAGACCCGCGTTGCCAGAGCATCAACATGAATTGACCCACAGTGCTGTAACTCATACATGTGTGGTATAAAGTGCGATGGCTGATGGGATAAAGAAATTCCTGCTCTGTTACTTTTGCAACAGGGGCCCCAAGACGTCGGCCTGATGAAAAGGCCTGAATTTCTTGCTTAACACCTGTTATTTTGCTGGCAATATGCTTGGTTTTCAAGAGCTAGTTCTTCTGGATAACATTAGCATTACCATGCCAACAGAGGATGCAAAATGTAATGGCACTTCTAATAAAGTTATTTGTTTTTGAGGTATTTTGTGTTATACAGAAAGGTGTTGGAAAAGTGGAAATTGAAAAGTAATCTTCTGGTTACGCTTCTTGAAGCTATCTTGTTTTAGTTGTCATGATCTTTTACTCTGCACAAAAGTAACAGACAAACGGGCGATCAGTCTGACAGACATACCAGCACCACCTTCACAAGTGCCTGATATTGGTTTTCATTTAGTACTTTTTTGTGGCATCCCACGACGTTAAATGAATGTTGCATGTCACCTGTTAATAAGAGTCCCAAACAGCAGCCTGATGGTCCTCTGCATGTTTTCAGTGCACAGCCAGCTCCACTGCTTCTCCATCAGCAGACACAGGATGTTCAGAGCCACCTCAGCCAGCGCCATCTCAGACGCTACGCCCACAACATTCAAGACACACATAAAAACATAACTCAAGATGACATTACAAGATAAGTATTGTGTTAAAATATACCTCACTGTATGTTGGTTTAAGATGCACAAGTAGCTTCTGACAGACAAATGGAGGGACATGTACGTAGATCTGAATCCAAACATTATAATCTGTTTCAGAGAAATACATTTCTGATGAACATGCAGGTCCAGTAATCACATCAGCCGTCCACTTCATACATATATTAACACTGCCCTCTTATGGTTAGACCTAGATGCTGCACTCTAAAATGTAGTTATTCTACATCAAAATGTACTGTGCCTTTTGGTTAGCACAGTCCTTGCAATGCGATCTGCAGGATATAATTTATTTTATGTGTATTAAGAGTGAAAAAAACCATCAGAAAACATCTTGATGGCATCCAAATTCAAACAGGCCACCTAAAATCCTCTGAGAATAACACACACACACTTCCCTAGTCTTAAAGTATGTCTGTCAAAGACTTTTATTCTTTACAGCCATTTGATGTTTTGTTTTTTTCCACTATGAAAACTGGTACTGGAATTCATAATACTACCTAGTCCACAAAGGGTGAATGAATACTGAAAAGACTGATTTAGCGAAGAAAAAGAGCATAACTGACAGCTCTCTGCAGTAACTACATTTATTAAAATGTACACAAGAAATACAGTTTTCTTTATCAGTGTAAGGGTATAATAGGAACTTGGTCAACACAGATAGAGAACTTATTTGGCCTGAGTGAGCTTCTAAATTTTACAACAGCTGAAAAATATCACTGACGGCTATGCAGCAGTATGAAAGACCATATCGTTACTTGTGACAGTGACTTCTTCTGAAGCCAGGGGAGCTTGCTTCAACATGCTTTATATACACTGGTGAAGTGCAGCTTTGGGGGTGCAAAGAATTTCCATTTTTTGGCAAAGTGCACTCAAAACATATCCACATTTCCTGGCCACTTTATTAGGCACACCTTTACAATCTAATGGAATAATGTAGTACAACAGCTCGGCCCCCTTTACAAACGCCTATAATAGTCAGCTTTAGGTAACACTTTCCCAGAGGTGTTAATTTAATTTATTTATGTTTGAGTGAGGTATTACTTTAACTGTCAATGACTGTCAATAAAAAACGGAACATTTTTTTTATAAGCTGCGAAATTGCATCAGATTTTAGACCACAGAGATACAGCTGGGTACCTAAACTGGAATGTAGTCACTAGTAAATGCTTAATATTGACATTTAAATACCACTGAATTTAAAGCATTCATGTATTTTAGATGGAAACCACCTATATGTATTAATGTGGTTTGTTCCCTTCTTTGACATTTCCAGATGGTAATTTTCTAAAACGTGTTTTTTTTTCAGGCTGACAAATTCAAATAGAATTGTCCCGGGGTTTCCAGCAACGTATCTGTACTTCTCTTTCTTGGATCACATGACTGACAGAACTTGACATGACTGTACAAGACTTGACATTTGGGATCCCAAAACGAACACGTGAACAACTTGAAATGAACCTGTGCAAGAATTCAAAAATACCCTGTGTGAAACATCAATGTATTCTGACACCTATTTATATTCCTTCCTTATCATATTAGTACTCTGTGAACTGTCCACTTCATTCACCCTGACTGTATGGGAAAAAAGACAGTTCTTCAAAAAGACAATGACCAGATGCCTAACATGGAAGAAACGCAATTTGGATTCAGCAAAATGAAGCAAAAGTTTACATATGTTGTTAATTAGATCATCCATTTTTCCTATGGTGATTCCCTGTGATGGAGAAAACAAAGAGCTGGTACATGAGATGGTACATGATGCAACACAGTGGATCATGAGAGAGAGGGTTAAGGACAGGTAACAGTTAATAATTAGGGTTAAAACTAACACTAGGCATCACTTCATCAGGCTAAATATATTACTTTTGCATCAAGTATAAACCAATACACACAAATTTATGTATACACAGTGGTTCCCAAAGTGGTCAGGACAATGGTGCCGCAAGACTCATCTTATCAGTGTTCATTTATTATTCCAAGTTACCAGTTGATCTACGTTCAAACCCTCACTTATGGGTGAGCAGCCAAAATGAGTTTCCTCCCTAGAGTCACTGGGCTGAGCCTTAGGGACAGGGAACTCAGACATCCAGATGGAGCCACTGCTCTTTAGTGTCTAAAGGAGCCAGTTGAGGTTCCTTTTCCGGGAACATCTAACTAGTAGGAGTTCTGGGGTAGACCCAGAACACGATGGAGAGATCTCATCCTGTTTGGGAACACTTTGGGATCCCCTAAGGAACACGCTGCTGGGGAGAGGGAAGTTTGGATTACCTTGTTTAGCCTTCTGCCACTGTGACCTGGGCCCAGATCACTGGCAGAAAATGGATGGATGGACATATATGCATGTTATATTGTTGGATGGGTGGCTTGGGTGCCATGACAAAAAAAATTCCTTTTAAATGGGGGAGTGTTTTTAAAAATGTTTTGGAAGCAATGCTCTAATAGACCGCACAAAAAGGGACGTTTGTGCGTACAAGCAGGGAAGGTCCCAGTATCAACCAGACTGTACAGTTGGTGGTCAGAAAGGCACCAATCTCAAAGATGTCTCATAATAACTGGATTGGCTGGCCTGAGTTTAATATGGAAAAGTAACACACACCAGGGGTTGTAGTGAGGTGCTGTTCACTGAAAGTAGGAAATGAAAGGCATATGGAGACAGAGTGTGGGACACTTTTTTCTGGCTGGCCTTAGTTTAAACAGTAACCTGGTCATCATCTCTGCTTGTGGCCAGCAGCTTGTGGGGGCATTGTCATCTGTCGAGTTGCATTGTGGGTAATATAGGCAGGGAGTTTTGTCATGAGTCCGACAATGTTATTGGACTGCAATGCTAAATCAGTGGAGTACTCTTTAAATGCTCCCTGAATCAGACAGGAATTGTTTGAAGTGACATGTTGTGAAAGTCCTGGAAAACTAAATCCCCTACTGGTATGGAATGACATCCTTATGGGATGTGCTGGAACGCAGAAGAGAGCTCCCACCCACCAACCTAGTCAGCAAAAGCAAAAAAATTACAGGTCACTTGTCGAATCGCTGTCATGATTTGACTATACTATTGAACACGGATTTCTATTTTACTGGTCACTGAACATTTTCATATAGGGAAATGCATATAACGCAGGTGTACTAATGCACATTTAATTCACATTCGACCCGTTCAATATATCAAATCAGACACAAATGTATCTTTTGTTGTCAGCATTTACAGACAGAAGTGTAGTTCCATCCACTTCACTGTTAAACCACAAATTTACAAAGAATTTCATTGCGTAAGTGGATGGGGTGGAAGCTTTTAGGTTTGGAAAGGAAAAATGGGAGTGACGGTTACATTTCTGTGTTTTTGTCTCTTCAGCCACAGCAGCATCGCAAGGGTTGCCAAAATATAAAGCCAGTCTGAAGAATCTAATGAGTGCCTGGAATATGGAACATGCTGGTTTCGATCAGATAGTCGCGCTCTAATCATGGTGAGATACAGAATGGAAAGTGGTAGAGTTAAGCAGACAGGAAAGCAGGAACACACATTCAGTTAGTCAGCGAGTTGGTCAGACACAAAGGAAAACGAAAGTAGACAAGCCAGGGTGAGTCAGACAAGTAGACATGATGATGGCAGAGATAGGCCTGGAGGCTAAAATTCTAGTTCACAATTGGATTTTAGCTCATTTAAAATGTTTGATTAAATCCATTTATTACATCAAGCAGTCCCCTTACCCCGTTCTTACCAGGTTCCTTACTGTGCTTTCCTCTCGAGCGGTCATCCAGATAGTCTCCGAATTGTCTAACAACTGGACTGTCCTTCCTCTCTGGCTCGGATCTGAAGGCCAGTTGTTCTTGTTCGGTGATAAAGGCTTGCAAATCTCCCAAAGACATCCCATTAAACACCTTTGAGAAAAATAGAGGAGAAGGCAGAAAAACTATATATAGCAAATATCAGTAGTGTCGAATATCAGATTTAAATTTAAGTGACTTACCGTGCTAGTTTGCTCCAGACTGAACAAAACCGCTGGTCTGATGTCTGAGCCGTTCATAAAGGGGATGCTTTTACTGGAGAACTTCAGACGACACCTGGGATCACACAAACAAATTAATATGCACACACTCACAGACAGCATACCCAGACATTTGGTAACTTTTTTTCAATGGAAAATTCTTTCTCTTTTTTTATTAGAAAGAAAGAGAGCACATAAGCATTGGCTTTTCTTCCTGGGATCTATTCAACTGTATATTCATAATAAAGCACTGACTATTTAATAAGTTTTACATTTTCTCCCAAACATCTCTCTCTCACTTTCAAACAAACGTCAAAACAAGGAGTGCTCCAGGTAAGGCTACTGGACAGAGCTTTTCAAATCCAACTGAAAATAAACTGCACTTTTAAGTACCTTAAATAAGTCAGATGTAACACTCAATGTTTCCTGGAGAATGACAGTAGTGTGACTGTGGTGGGGGCATGGGGGGGGGCATGGGGGGGGGGGGGGGGGGGGGGGGGGGGATATTAAAATATTTTATTTGAAAGAATACATTGCCCTATCTCTAGTAGGTTACTTCTTACCTTAACATTTAAATTTTACTTTATTCTCCACCTTATGTTTATGTTTACTACTTTAATTTGCTCACCTTGCTATTGCCTTCAGACACAAACGCCTACACCTGTTCTGTGTAGGTCTCTGGTCTACACCAAAGTTCTATCAACTGCCAAAATTGTTTGTCAAAACCCTCCGGCCAAACTGGCAGCATCGCCACCAGGGATTCAAATTTGTGCTCATAGCTGGGCTAAGGGCGTGAAGATGAAGCCGGGGGCAAAAAGGCTGGCCACTTTCTATATGGGTTGGCGTTGTTGGCCTATATGTAGATAAAAGTCGGTCTGGATCTCTGGAGTCATACTTGCTCTTCTTGTCAGAAATGATTTTCCCTCCATCCACCTCTCCATCATTGTCTTCTGTTGGGCTTTGGGGTTCTGAACGAGGAAACGCTGTCTTCAGGGTGTCCACAATGGCATTCACCACAATCTAAACCCCAAAACACAAATGTACTGCATTAAAAACTCACTATGAAACCAATAAGCATAACTGTACAACCATCAAAACACTTTTTATCACGTTATATTTTGTGTTTATGAGATTGCATCACATACCCTGCACTTACAATGTGTTTATCATAAAGTCAAGTATTATTCAGATGTGCCATAATGAAATATTCAGGATCAAACCTTGTCTATGCGCGAGACAATAAAAGGTTTCTTGACAAATGCAATCCTGGCGTCTGTATTGAGAGCCAGAAACTCCTGCATCTCTTCACTGTTGGCTATTTCAGAGATGGCACAGAGTTGCTGAAAAAGAGGACAGCTGGATTACAACCTTAGATACCAAAAAAAACAACATAAAATGTTACATTGGGCCAACAAATACTAAATGAATAGAATATCAATATCAATCTGCTTACCTTTAGAAAGGTCTCCAGAAGTCCTTTCCTGGCCTCTATCTTCTCACTGTCCATGTTTCCAAATGGCATGTCTGGAAATACTTTCTTTGGACCTTTCACACCTGAAACACAGTCAGATTACAATCAAAATTCTGGATTTTTGCTCAAGTAGAATGGCCAAGAATCCAACTACAAATCCAGGTCTGTTTATAGGCCATGTAAGGATTTCTCCAAGCCAGGCTACAGCTAACTAAGCCACTGTGCACACTGGTTGTGCCAAACAGCAACACATGGTTTCAAATGATAACTTAAATACACAAAATCTAGTAAGCTTATCCAGAGTCCTTCCTATCCTTCCTACCTTTGATGAGCTTCCGCAGTTCCGTTTTTTCTTCCAGCCGTGTTTGCAGGTTGAGGAACTCACTGTATCGTCTGTTGACCATGTGATAGGCTACTGGCTGAATGGGTGACGGAGTCTCACAGCCTGACGGTACAACTTCAGCATCCTCAGAGCCTGGCTGGGCGCTTCCTGGGTTCTCACAGCACATTGCTGTCTCATACTGAAAACCAACACAACAAAGTATGAGGCTTGCCATCTTTTGGAGATTCCTGTGATAATTTATATTGTTCATATTGCTAATGTGACACCATTTGTAAAATGTATAATGGTCTATTGCTGATATTTGTGTATTCAAACTACTGTCAGTTAAAATATCGTTGAACCAGTATCAATATAGTTAACTTTGATTATTTTCATGCCAAAAAATGATAATTTTAAGTTTCAAAACTGGGATACACAAACACTCTATTAAATATTGATTAAACAGTTTTGTATTAAATACTGTATGTCCAAAATGTCAACATAAGAACTTAATCCTCTTATGAAGGATTTTTAATTACATTTAATTCCTTTTGTTGGTGCCGATCAGAAGAATAGCAAGTAGTCAGCCATGTTCATGCTGTTGTGTACACACGTCCTCATGCACACGTACAATACAAGCCAAACAGGGACCCTATCATAAAAATAATGCTCCATAGCGCTACTAGTAGTGGAAAAACTCCACAAGGTAACATTAACTTAACTTATAAATTCTTCATTTGGAACTTTAAAAAGTTGTCTTTGAGAATCTCCTTGGGTTTTAATCTTTGGGCCTTACTTCAACCTAGTGCCACTAGAAGTGCACACCATAGAACAACCGGATTAAAGAGATAATATTGTTGACATGTTCCCCCTGGGAAAGTACAGTATCACACATGAACAAAATAATGAATAATGAACAGAGGTAAGAGAAAGAGATGCATGTATATATCTCCTTACTTTGATAGTGTAAAGAGTGTAAGGGTGTGAGCCGGTGCCGCGGTGTTCCTTAGCTGTGATGGTGCCAGTGATGCGGAGGTTCTGGATGATGACTGGTCCATCAGGGCTGCTGAGGGGCTCAAAACTGAACGACGGCATGGGAGAACAGCCCTGCAATGGACTGACTTCAGTCAGCACACTCCCTAGCATCGTCTGTTCTACACCCAGAAGGAGCTCTCTGGCTGGGTTTACTGAAGGGGAAGCACCCTCCCTCTCCAGGTGCTGGCGGCTACCGATACTAGGAGTCCCCTCTGCTGTCCTAACTGATGAATGGCCGCAGCCATTAGGAAGCTCTACCGGTTCTGAATTTACCAGGACTTTAGGGCAGGAGCCGTTCATTGGGCTGGGGCAAACATCCTCCAGGATCACACCATTATTCTTCTCAACAGACGTGGCACATTCTTTGCGTCTGTCATACAGGCCCTCCTCTTGGCCTATCATGACCAGGGAATCAATGGAACTTTGTTTATATTCAGCCAAAGGAGAATCCAGGTCAGAGTCGTTTTCCTCGTAAAATGGGTTTGACTTGCTTCCTGTCATGTAATGCCTTAAAAAGGGTTCTTCTTCTTCAGTGTTGTTCTGCTGACAGTCCACCTCATCTGTGTCAACCAGATCGTAGGCCGCGAGCTCAGGCGTGGCTGTCTCTCTGTCATTGACCATTTCAGTGTCAGCTCTTAGTGGAACTTCATTATTCATATGAGATACACGGGCTGTCACATTTAGTGGAGAGACCTCTGATTGAGCAGGTGGCTGTGGTAGTGGGGGTGATGAAGTCAGTGGCTCTGTTGTAATTGGCTCCTGTGGTTTGCTGGACTTGCTGAATATTTCGATTACGAGACTGTTTAACCAGTCAGGGTCAGACAGTTTAGCAATGAGAGGGAGCAGAACGTTGCAGGTGATGAGCTCTCCGACAACGAACCGTCCGGAGCAGGTCTCCAAGTGAGGCGAAGGCACCAAAACATGCAGCAACAGATCTACAACTGCTCTGGTGTAGTTTATTTTCACTGTGTCACTGGTCAGGGCAAGATGAGGCGTGGTAACCCTGGAATATGCTTCCCACAACTGCTCGCTCTCACTGCCCCGCTTTGCTGTCAGAGGCGTTTGCTGCTTGGCCACCATCTCTTTGGCACTGATGTAGTCCTGGAGGTGGCTGCCAAACAGATCCAGGATCCTCTGGGTCAGCTCCTGCCGTGATTCAAAAAAGTTGCACATGTCCCATCAAAAATCACTTCTGGTTTTCAAAATTCTTATGTGAATGTAGTTATTTCTAGTGTTAGGCCAATACCTGCACTCACAAGGCCGATATATCATCCTAAATGACAGCAGATCTAATCTAAAACCATTACTGGCTAACGTTAAATATATACTGTAGAGAATTATGCAGTTGAATGACGTCATTTCTGACTAACTGTACCCTACTCTCCCTTAAACATCAGTCATGCTCTACAGCAAAACCCAATGTATTTTTTATAAAAATTCCATCCAAAACAACATGTTACTGGCTAACAGAACCATGTACATTAGATTGTACTCTGCATGGAATAATTATACAGGACTTTTCTTTGTTTTAATATTGGCAAGATAAATATATCGGCCATTGGCTGCCCTCTCTAAATTGGCCATTGAAAAACCCATATCAGTCGATCAGATGTAGTGAAAACAATAAGCTATAAGCTATAATGCAATATGTGGTTGCTTATAGGGAAGTATAACTTCTTTCTATCACATATTGATGCAAAATAAAGAACTTTTTCATTTCTTTCCAAACCATAGGCCTTTGTAAAGTCATTAATTTTCATCTGGAAATGTTGAAATGAAATCGTCATTAACCATAGCCAGTGCTGCCTATAGGACAGGTGTCCCAAGATACATCTGAGGGGTCATAAGAAAGTTACCAAAAACTATGACTATTTTCTTTCACTTTCTTCTTCCAATTGTTGATTTTTTTTCAGCTCTTCGTGCCTCTAAAAATCTCAAAAATAAGACTGAGAGGGAAAAATGCATATTGTACACAAAGTTCTGGCAAGCACACAACAACACTCCCAACTGTGATGTCTTTAAATCAAAGTACCTTCCTGTTGACCTGTCTTGCACGTATTTTCAGCTCCATGGCCATAGAGATCATGGCCTGTTGAACCTCCGTTTCAAAACCACTCTCAGAAGACACAGTGGAGTACCAGGAAGTGACAAAGTCCCTGATGATTTTCCTCACTGTGTTGTGGATCTCCTGGTCCAAGAGATGCTCATCCTCCACAGACGGTGGGACCTTAAATTTAGCAATGACAAAATAATTGGAAATTAAATGAGCCTGGAACTAGATATGGCTTTCCCAAAAGCAAGCAAGGCTATTATTATCTAAGCCCTGTAAATCCAAAATAACTTTCATAACCATGTCTACTAATGAAAAGTGAAACTAACACTGGAACTGTAAACCACAGTTAACTGTACACTTACTTGTTCCATGGTGACAAACCTCTCCAGGTGAACCACACTGTTGGACTCCAGGACAACCTGAGAGCCCAGCCAGCCACCGAGCACGACTAGCAGGCTGGTAAAAACGCAGAGCAGCCAGATGTTGACCAGCAGGTGGAACAGCACCAGCCATGCCAACACCACACCAAAGCCCAACAAGCTTCTCTGTCCCAACACCTCAGCCATGGCACTGTGGGGGTTGCTCTCTGGCTCGACACCCTCAGGAAGAGAAGTGGAGATCATGCATGCCAGAGCAAAATCGCATCTTGAGGAAAACCAAACCAGAATACAGATTAGATGTGACAAACAGACAGAGGAGCTGCGTGGATGTCAGCGTGTGATCAATGTGAATTAAAGAAGATGGATGCATAGTCAGATTAACCGGGAAGGGGACCAAGAGCAAAAATTAATCTTTTGGACCCTAATGACCCATTTTCATCGAACTCCATTAAGGACAGGGCAGGGACCAATCTACAACTGGCAGCTTAGTTATACAGTACTTTGCCTGAGGGCCCCAGAGCCCAACCACTAATCATGCTTACTAATGACATGTAACATACGTAACATACACAACACTATCAACTAAACTGATAAGGTATTACAGCTGGATTTACATAATTAACTATGTTATTAAACACTGTTTCATTTTACCGTAACTGCCTTTGCCTTAGTAATAAACAACTTAATAAATTAGACACAATTTGCATTGCCAAATTATATTTACGCTTACGGCTAACGTATGTTTAGCAGGATGTCTCGACAGTAACTAAACAGCTGTTTACTAGCTTGAACATCTACCCAGCCAGTGGTCAGCCACACTATTTATTGTTATTTGTATTCGTCAGTTCTAGTAACCTCCACCGGCTAGGTAACGTGTTTGACTAACGTTAGCCCTGATGGATGCCGTTATCTGCTCTGCTGCACCAAACCCCACTCAAAAATTCGACACTTTATTGTTTAACGTTATTTGTTGCGGGATACGTAACGTTAAGTTATACGACTGCTAAATACTGTTTTATGATCTTACTGACTTCATTCCATTCAACAGCAGGCCATTCGGCATACAGGTTATTCAACCTGGAGAGAAGCAATACATTTCAACACAATATCTCATTTATGATGAAGTCTCCACGGTTAAATAAGCTAACGTTAGTAAATTAACGTTAACGTTAAGTTAACGTCAGTAGAAAAGGACAATAAATAAAAGGCATGGGGATACAAGTCGAACATTTAATAATATAACTATTTTTTCATGTGCTACATTAATGCCGAAATAAAGACAAATTCCTAGCGGTTTATTTGAGGTATTCAGTTCTGCCCTGTGAGGCGTCACTCTTTGTCAATAAGCAAACCTACAATAAATTTCTAAATGTTTGGTTACAGGTCTGTGGCGTTAGACTAGGACCCAAAGATTGAAGTATCATTAGCTAGCTACAACTTTATAGAACCGTGGAGTCGCGTGCACAGTGCAGATAGTGGCGTCCTTTCGTAAATATATTTCCCCTGGCTACCTATTTAAATAAAAAAGAACAATATTTAACCTGCACGACCTGTCATGGCACTCAATGGGAGGTCTCGTGAGCGTCTTGATGACAACTCCGTCGTCTGGTTTGTTTACTTCCTGTATCATGACGTATGTTCAAATGAGAAAGCTTCCCCGAGTCTGCGGTGCGCCCCTAATGCTCTGGAAGCGCCAGAATAAGGTTGTCAGAAAAAGAAACAAGTGCGGTCTAAAATATTACCTATTGTCACTTTAAGATAAAAATAAGCATCACACAGTGTTGTATTGGCGTTCAACAACTAAAGCTCCCATGATGCTTTGTCAGCAGCTAAGACTCATGGGAGATGTTGTTTCATGACAGTAAAATGTGGCGTTCGAATTCTCAATGCAGAGGGTAACCTAACACATGAGGTGTCTCTAGTTTAATCCATTTTACACCTCAAGAATACGCAGTGGTGGGTAATTCTGGGTAAGTCACAATTTCATATGAGCAATGGTTCTTCCTCCTAAAAACATAGTGTTGGTAGTTAACAAAGTGAGAGAGAAGTCTTATAGAATATTGCACTGTATGTACCAAAGTGTGTTAGAATGGTTTGTGCTGATTATTGAATATTCTTGTGATTTATGTGGATTAGGAAAAAATATATTTGCAGACTGTGTAGCCTATTTTTTCATTGAAGTGACACAAAACTCTGGACAGACACAACATTTTATAAGGAGGAAGACTGAGTAAGTGATCTACATTGTGAGGACAGTTTTCTGTGTTTTGAAGGCAGTTAGATCTTTGTATGACTGTAGATTTTTGTAGATTTCACATAAAAATGGAGTCACTCCAAACTGACCACATTACCTTCTAAACCAAACCTTCCACTGCGCAGTAGCATTTTTAAGGAACTTTTTTACTGTATTTATTATACAGTACAGTAGTTTTTTTAAAATGAGTGTGTTATTATTTTCATCTAAAAGAGTTTATGTATCCAACCTCACCGTACAATTACACTGAAATCTTTTAGTTTTTGTTTCAGATCATCAAAACTTCTGTAGTTTTTTGTGGTTTTTTGGGCGAGGTTTCAGCAAGTTATAGTTGTAAATTGACCCTTTTTAGCAGCCCAGATGTGTTTACATTATGCCATCATATAAGTAGGGGAGTATTTGTTGCAAAGGAAACTAAAGCGGCACAACAAAGCGTGTGAATGTCTCACTGTAACCAGCAAAGTACAAAACAGGGTTCAACAGGATTCCATCTTAAGGTGACACAATATTATACATTTATACTTCAAGTACAAAGGCAGTCAAACAAAGCATCACATATCAAAGTCAGTACCAAGTTTGTGAAGCCAAGGAGTCTTTTGTACTAGATGACTGTGAACCAGCTTGTCTTTGGCCCTTCTAAGGACAAAAGAAGGAGGTTCAGGGAACAGTTTCTGCAAGGATGGATCACTGTGTAATATATCTTGTCACAATGTGGGTTGGAAGGGCCCAGAATAAACCTTTCCTCCAGTCCAAGGAAGCGGCATGTTTGGCCTGGGACACAAATACAAAGTTGTGAGTCCATCATCAAAATTCAGTCATTAGGTAGATTGTCATCTGTTCTGGATTGTTAAAGGTGGTTCACTGCTTCAAGACCTTCTTCATGTTTGGTATTGCTATATAAAAATGTAACATCCGTGGGGACCATGAATAAATCACCAATGTCTCATCCATCTTGGTAAGAACATGTGTGGTGTCTTGCAGGGCAAAGCAGAAACAAATGGTTTAATGAAATGATCAATGAATCAAGAGGCAGGTTCAGAGATGGAATCTATACCATGATGTTGGGTGGAAGGTTACGTACATTTTTGTGTGTTTTGGGGCTTTTGGGGTATAATTGTAGAATGTTGGGTGTCTTGGATCTCTTTTTTTACAAAGGAAGTCCTTCTCTTTTTCAGTTAGCATGGTTATTGATTCTGACTAAGATGAGCCGTGTTCTTCACTCTTGCCTATATGCTCAGAGAATGAATAATTTATCATTTCTTATTTTATTTTATTTATTTATTTACCAGGGACAATGCACATTAATCAACACAGTAGTTAGACTTCAGTGTAGCTACATTTTCATTTTCTCATTTTCATCCATGGTCCCTGAGCAGGTTATAACTAAATAATGCCCCACATCATCAGTCCAGTGCTTCAACAAGTACTGCAAGAAAAATACATTAAATTATAATGCATAAGTACATTACAAAAATGATAAAAGTATAATTAAAAATAGTGCCAAATATCATCAGTATAGTGCCTAAACAAGTAGTGCAAGAAAGATAAAATACAAGATACATAAACATAATACATAAAATACATACATGATAATGTAACTGATGGGTGGTACGGTGGTGCAGTGGTTAGCACTGTCGCCTCACAGCAAGAAGGTCGTGGTTGCCCCAGCCTTTCTGTGTGGAGTTTGCATGTTCTCGCATGGGTTCTCTCCGGGTGCTCTGGCTTCCTCCCACCATCCACAACAATTTACGGAGAAATGCATTGAAACTAATGGGGAGGAAGTTTCTCATGCAGCAGCACAATGAGCCAAAGCACACTGCCAACAAAACAAAGGACTTCATCAGGGGAAAAAGTGGAAGGTTTTAGCCTGGCCAAGTCAATCAGCTGACCTTAACCCAACAGAGCTGCATTTCACCTCCTTCAGAGGAGACTGAAGGGAGAAACACCCCGAAACAAACAAGACGTGAAAGAAGCTGCGGTAAAAGCCTGTAATACCATCACAAATGAAGAATGCAACAGTTTGGTGATGTCGATGGGTCGCAGGCTTGAGGCAGTTACTGCAAGCAAGGGTTATGCCACCAAATATTAAATGTTATTTACTTAAAGATTATTTGTTCCATTACTTTTGCTCACCTAAGAATGCTGTGGTCTAATACAAAGGGTGGTTTGTCCTGAGTTGTTTAACACATCTAGATGTGAATAGCAGGAAATAAAAGCTGAAATTGTGACCTCTTGTCTCATCCTCATCTTTTGATCTTAAACCCAAATGTCTTCAGTGAACAACAAAAACACAGGAATTTGCCTTACCGTTCCAATACTTTTGGAGGGGACTGTATGTTATATGGGAAACGATCATAGCAAGCATAAAGAATAAACAGAGCTCCCCTGAATAAACAGAGTGCCTTATTTTTTTCCGATGGTTGTCTGCACCATTTAATACCAAGCAGGACTTTCTGGATCCTGTTTTTTGTGCTTTCACCTGCCCCACTAAAGAGTATCTGTCAGGTCAGCCTCAGAGCCATGCAGCACGTCCTTCTACTACTGTAAATACATGAATTTGTAAAAGCTGTATCGACAGGCTATTACAAAAGTGTCACTTAACATTTCTGTGTTGTTGACTTCTAGGCTCGAAAACAAAGCTGCATTTGATGCGGGAAATGAGAAGATACCACTAAGCACAAAGCTTAACACTACTCAACTCAACTACTAAACACATTGTAGGCTATTTCAGTTGTTTAGTTCATACACTAACAGAAATGTAAAAGCATTAGAAGGATTAGAGATTTAAAGGTGCTTGTAGACAGGAATAGGCAGTATTTATGATATGATATGATTTAAAATACATATTTGAAATACAAACTAGGATTTTGTCATTTGTATTTGATAGGGTTGATAAAAATGGCTTCATATTTTGTATCAAAATACTTTTGAGTGTTTTGTACTTTGTATTTTAAAAAATACTGTAAAATGCTTTGTGATAAGTCTTTGTGAGCTGTTGTCGTACAAGGGGCGCGCGTCATGGAGCGTGTGCTAGCGGTGAGCTAACTGGTGCCCCTAAATTGCTACAATTATAATAAGTTTTAGTGTTCATTTTAGTAGCCTAGGCTAAATTGTTTACAAATTACATAATGTTCTAGCTAACTGTTTTACCTGAGTAGCAGCCCTCACAGTTAACTTTAGCTTGATACTTCCAGCCTATGTAAAGTTTTATCGATTGTGCAAGAAAAAAATTATAATATAGCTTTAAACATTTGGAAAACTGTTAGTTAAACATTAAACTGTTGGTTTGTTTAAAACTAACCTTTATCTAGCAAGAGGGATATGAGAATATTTGATCTGTGAACTGGTTGTCAGATTTATTGCTTGACTCATTAGGCTGTTGCTCTTAGTGTTCTGGTGAAGAGATGTGATTTCATGGTACCTTGGGAAAGTATTTTTTTGTATTTTTGAAATACAAAAATAAAGTAATTTATTTTGATTATGGTTTTTGAAGTCTTGTTTCTGACCATCTGGTCAAATGCTAATGCTAACGTTGCCCTGTGTCTGCTGGATATTTCAATAGGCCTAACACTATATCAACTATATATATGGTGTTAATATGTCACTTTTATAAGTCTAAGGTTTGCTTTCCACCAACACCTGATCAGTATTAGCTGCTAACAGTAAATGCTGACTTTGCTAACTGTGTCTGCTGTTTGGTGTTGGCCAGGTGGCACAGAGTTAGTAGCTTATTTCGCTGAAAAGATGCTCCGGGCTGTTTGTTTTCTCTTTTTTTTTTGTTTTACACCTACAGCAGACCAAAAAAACTGACTTTATAGTGAAGTCCTCTGATTTCTCAGGGTGAGGTGAGGGACTGGAAATTTTGGATTGTGGAAATACAGACGTGTTTTGTTCATCTGTATGGGGGTGTCTGGGGGTTTCCCTGATAGAAGTTACATGCTTCCCATTCAGCACTGAGTATAACACAGCCACTAATGATGTCAGAAAAATGAAACCGGACTGTTCTTCTTGCTTTTGGTTTCATTTACTGCAGCCTATAAAAATGGTCTACCTGCTACTGTGTGTTGGACACAGAAAAAGGTTTTGGTGAGTGGGACTGCTTTATTTTGGTAATAAAGACCATCAATCTTTACAGGTAGGTATTGAACACTGTTTACACACACACACACACACACACACACACACACACACACACACACACATTTATAAAGACTTGGGAATGCACTGTGTTTTTGTTAAGTATGTTTGATGTAATGAAAGGCAGCTTTATCTTTGACTTTTTGACTGAATGAGCAGTTTCAGGTCAGATATTGAAATGAGTGAAAATGGAGGAAATGAGGTATGCTGATGACTAGTATAACCTCACTAATCTGATTTGTTCAGTGTGGTTGACTCTCGAGCCGGTGTGGGAAAATATTTCTGGAAGACCTGAGGAGCCACACAGTGCCTCATTAAAATTACGTTGGGAGCAATTTCACACA